AATATTTTTGATCTCGTTAAACTTATTCAAGTGCGCAAAACTTAAGGGCTATATAATCATGTGTAGACTGATATCATATTTGAGTTTTCATTGAAAATACAAAATTACTACAGATTAGTTCCTCTAATAAATAATCATGTCTGTATAGAAGACTTCCTTTAAGGGTTTTTTCGTTAGACGATCGGTAAGTTTGAGATAATTCATAAAGATTTTTTTCGAATTTTTTCTATTTAGAGAATTCATTCACATTTCACATTCTACAATTCTACCAATCGTTTTTCAGATACAAGTTCTAAATTTCTACTAGTTCTAAAACTATCATATAAATAAATTCATAAAATATCCACAAATTTCTTTTCATATTGTTCACTAAAATTAATAGATGAATCTCTACTTACATTACTAAACAAATGAAGATACCTTCACATCCAGTTCGACGACACATCACGATCATCAAATCAGACAGCATACTTCTTCATACATTCACACCTGGATAGCATGAAAAGTTCGTTTAAAATAAAATAGCTTATGGAATGGCATGTCTTGTTTCATATATATACAAACGTTGTTAGCCCATATAGACATATGCAGTTAGACATATTTATATGTAGATTGAGCTCGATGTGTACTTTTTACTAACATCAGCAAGTTTGCGTCCAATACCGGAGATCAAAACTTGTGAAACTGGTATTAAAAGTCACAAGTTAGGGTCTCAGGGAATCAGCCATACAAACATTTGCACATGTCACTAATACCAATGTGTAATATGCAAGTGAATTTCGTATGATTACAGATCGATAATATATATATAATAATAATGTGAAAACACTTTCGCACAAATACACAAACACACACACATATGTATATGAACAGGTAATCGGAGAGTGAGAGAGAGAGAGCGAGCACATTGTATGGCTGGGCGAGTGTGTGTGGGATGTCTTTGCGGCTTATAGTCAAGCAAAGAAAGCTAGCACGCTGTATAGTATGGTCTATAAGTACTACTATACAACCTACTACCTCAATTTGCCAGAGAGAAAAAGGTCCTTGGTGTAGTCCTTTTTGCTTGCTTGGTTTAAGTCAGTTGGTTTAAAGGTTTCATAATTGTTAAACGAATCGAACAAAATAGTAAAACCAACAGCAACAAAAGAAAAACTTAAAGAGAATTGCAAAAATTATAGGAATTGGCAAAATATAATATTAAATTAATTAAGTTGTAAAATGAACTGCAACTGATTAAATAAATTAATGTGTATTTATAATGGTAATAAATTATATTTCAAGTTTACTTATTTATATTAGTTCAAATCAGTTAAAGTCTTTAATATAAACTTGTTTTACATTTTAATTTTAATTATTTGTTTTTATTATTCGAAAATTTGAAGGCGTTTTTGGTTTGGTTTTCTATAAATTATTGTATATATTTTTATTTATTTGATTTTTATTTTTTATCAAATATTTATTATTGCTTTATATATTATGAAAAAAATATTATTATTATTATTTTTTTTTTTGTGGAAATATGATATATACATATATTTAATTATTTTTAATGTTATATTATTATTATTTTATTATCATTATAATTAAAATGTTTTTAATTTGTACTTGAACTTTATTTGATTTGATTTTCAGCGCTCAAAATAATTTGTAGTTTTCTTTTTAATTTTTTAATTTTATATTTTGTTTTATTTTTATGTACTAACTTTGGTCTACTTATTTATTTTATTATTATTAATTTATTTGTTTTTTGTGTGTATATATTAATATGATTATTAATAGTTAGGTAAATATTATGAATATGTCTTTCTTTACGATTTGTATATTTTAATTTGTATCTCAAATTTGTTTATTTTTTTTTTAAGGGTGTGTTTATTATTATTTGTTGACTTCTCTTTCACACATATGTAGATTTATACTCAACTTGTGGAAATTACATATATTATTTAATATCCTTTTGTTTATAAACTGTTGTTGAACTTATTGTTTCCTTGTTATATCATGTTTGTTTTTCGATTTTATAATATTGATTTATTGTTTTATTTATAGTTTCTACTTGTGTTATTTCAATGTTGCTTTGCTTTGTTGCCAAAAACCAAGTTGTTTGCATTGACAGACTCCCATAATGCCGGTCTTGTAACAGATATAAAACAGCACAAGTTCGGATTTACGGGTTTCTGTTAATGGTCCATATGTAAGTATGCACCATTTCTCATGGGATTTACTAAGTTCTTTGATTGATGCACAAGCAGCATTTCGAATTGTTGCGAAATTCCAGTAGACAGTAGTTTTTCCAGCTCTTCTTCTTCTGCCTCGACATCTTCACATTGTCAAAGCTGAAAGAAAAGGAACTTGTTTAATCTTTGTGCTGAGCCGAAATAAAGCTTACTCTGTTTCTTTTCATGGTGTGTGTGTGTGTGTTTTGGCCAAGTTGTCAGTATGCAAGCTGTAAATAGTGGAGAGAAAAAAGAATTAGATATTTAATGCATATAATTTCTTGTTATTTATTACTTCTATATATACGTATACCTAGTGTCTTTTTTCTGTGGTTAAGCTCTATTCTCTTCAGATTTATGTCTGCTGGCCACGTAAGCCGCTTGCTTGTTGCAAGCTGCAATTCACTTAGCAACAAAGAAACGTTAGCTCACATGCATTGCCCACAAAAATAACCACGAAACAAAAACAACAACAAAAACAAAACAATTTGCACACTAAAAGTTGCCTTTTAGCCGTATCTAGCTAAGTTTTTTAGCTCTATTTTAGCTATATACATATGCTATGCACATAGTACATATAGTACATATGCATGTATGTAGGTGTACATGTATATAAGTGTGTTAGCTTTAGTTTGGCTGCTTTGGGCAACTTGGCGTTGCGCTTCCTGAACGGCAAATGCCTCGGAACAACAAAAAACTGAAACTGAAATGCCATTGAGCGTAGCAGAGGCAACGGCAACGACAGCGGCAGCGGTAGCGGCAACGTCTGCTGTGCAGCGACTGCGCTGCTGCAGCTGAGCGCTGAACTCCATTTCTATATGGGTGTGTGTGTGTCGCTGTATCTATCGAGTGTTTTGGCTATATGTTGCTTGTTGTACCCGTTGTTGTTCCTGGTGTTGTCGTTGTTATTGCATACATATGTACAGCAGCGAGACGCTGCCAAAATGCTGCTGCGTCTTCACCCATTGGCCTGCCACATGATTCTTTGGTGGTAGCAGCAGAGCGCACACACACACACAAACACACTCAACTGTCGCGCTCTGTCTGCGCGCAGTTCGTTGGCTGTACCTATTTCAGCCAGGACCTGCCTCAACAAATTCACACACAGTCAACAACGACGTCACACATACATGCGCGCTTCCTTCCTACTTATGTTGCGAAGCTGACGTTGACGTTGACGTCGCGCAAAAAAACCGGTAACAGCTCTGCCAGCAGCATGAGCTTTGCATTGCCATTGCCCCTGCAGCTACTAAAGCTCTCTTGTTTGCTTGCTTGCTTGCTCTCTCGCACGTTCTCTTTGGCACGCACACTCTCTTATATAATTAGGCTCTGCTGCGCTCTTAGCATACATTTGTTTACATTTTGTTTTGTTTTTGTTTCGCACTCGAAAAGCAAAACTTTTCCATTTAAGCTGCAATTATTACGGAATTTGGAAACACGAAAACGGAAAAGAGTACAAAATATGATATTATCCATACGCCAAGTAAACCCTGTTAGACTGCTAGTTACCATTTGCTGACTTTCTTTTCGATAAGGCTATTTGCATTTTCCCCACAGCTCGGCAAATAATATCGAAATTCGTTTATTATTTGCACATTAATCAACAATTTCCATTCGAATGCGCGCAATCATGTGGAAATGTTTGCATGGAAAATGAACTCGGCGGCTATTAATTTTCATTTTGAATGCTGACCGCGTGCGGGTGTGCGGTCTGCGGGCGTGTGTGGATGTTTGCCTTCAGGCCATTTAAATGTGCAACTCGCTTGTTTAATTGGCTTATTTACTGATTCATTTTGCAGGCATTGAATTTCTTCACCAGCTAATAATATGCGAGCAGGAAATGTTAATTAGATCTTTTTATGCAGGAAATATACAAAGCTTTCACAATTTTTGAATCTGATTGTTGAAAACATTGATCTTTTATAATTCTTATGTATCTATTAACTAAATAAAAACTTGAAAATTGTTTATTACAATTTTTATTAAATATTTTTAGGTTTCAATTCATTAAAACTTTTAAACTATTCCTATTTAATCTTTTAATTTAATTTTGTATATTAATTGTACAATCATTATTCTTTATTATTTACGTTCTAATTTCACTTTTAGCTGAAATTTCCTCCCTTTTCATTACATTTTTCATTTATTCAAGTATTTACTTTATTCTTTTCACTTTATTTTAATTTTATTCAATCCCTAGGGCAAATTCTCGGGCTTTCACACGAATTTAAAAAACCAAGGCCAAAGGCGCCTCCGCACAAAAAACCGCAATGCCACACTCATACACGGACACACACTCACACACACACACTGAAATGATGGCACCTCTACGAAGCTCAGTTGCACATAATTATGCAATACGCCATTTGCAAGCGCGCTCTCTTAAGCGCATTCTCGCGCTAACGCTCACTCTCTTTCTGCCCGTTACTCTCGCAATGTGTTGGGTCACTTCTGCTTGCTGCTCTTTCAATGCCATTGTCATGGGAGTTGCACACACACCCATACACGTGCGCGCGCTCACATACATTTATACGCAAAAACAGTGAGATAAGCGGCACATGCAAGCAATTCAATTAGATGCCGTTTGTTGTTGTTGTTGTTGTTGGTGCATGTTACCAACTCCTTTGCCACAGACAACAACATGGTGCGCGACGGAGAGTCGCACGTTGGCTGTCGGCTGTTGGCTGTGACGGTGGCGAAGGCGACTCTTCTGCCCATTTGAAAAATCCCAGTGCCGAGTTGGGAAGTTGTTGGCAAAGCCAAATGCAGAGTTGATTAACCTTTGCGCGTTCTGTTTTGCAACTTCATTCGTGGAGCAGCAGAAGCTCCAGAGCTGCTGCTGCTGCTGCTGGTGCTGGTGCTGGTGCTGCTGCCACTGCTCCGATTTAAATGCTGCCTGCCGCTGAAGTTGTATGTGTTTCGTCTCTGTCTGTTGCGCTGCCTGCCATGTTCGCAGCCATGTTAGCAGCCATTTTTAATAGCCATATGTACACTCACACACTCACACACACACACACACGCACATACATCATGCATGTACGTCATGCATATGTGTCTGTGAGATTGTGTGTCTGGCTGTGTCTGGGCTACGGCGACGTTCTTTTTTCGACTTCTTCTGCTCTGTCTTCTTCTCCTGCTGCTCCTGCTCTCTCACCGTGTGCTGCTATTTGCGTTTTGTAGTTTATGCTTCATTCACACTATGCTGCATTGCCACGCCTCCACCGTCTCTGCCTACGCTCGCTTCTTCGCTTTGCATATTTCGCCGTCCGTTTCATTTTTTTTTTTTCTTGCTTTTGTGGCCTTCGCCGTGTTGGTAATTGTAATTGAAATTTGGCGTTGAAGCGAGTAAATGACTTGCTCTTCTCTCACTCTCTCACTCTGCCTCAGTTGCGCTCTCCTCTCTCCCACTCGCAGCGTTTTGCATGTATATTTCTTTTACAGTTGCCGCTTTTCGGCAAAGCTGTTTTGGCGTTTATTTTGTCGTTTCGTTTCCTGTTTGTTGGTGTGGGTCATGGTTGTGCTGCCGCGTCATGGCTACCCAAACACACACACACACACACACACACACACACTCAGGCTCGCTCACTCTCCCTCTCTCGCTTACGTATGTGTGACTGACTGCTCCTTTTTCGCATGTGCACTCCTCCTACACCGCCGTGACGTCTCGCCTATGGGTCTGCTTTGAGTCTGGACAGCGGATTCGGATTTGCCCCTTGTTATGACTGCTCTTTTGTTGTTCGCAAATTGAACAATATTGTCGCTGCGGCCTTTCATGCAATTAAATCATAACGTGAATGACGAACTTTGATGCGTGAAAAGTTCCGATATTTGATGAGTGATGCAACGGAGCTTATTTAATAATTACTATATCAATATTACCATCATAATAGTTGAAATTAATACAAAACTATTAAGCATTTTATGGAACGAAAACAAGTTCAGTTCACTGATTTAATCTTTATACGTTTTCAAATAAAAAATGTTTATGACATTCTCTTTATAACAAAATTAAATTAATCCTTTCTAATTTTCGCATTAATTTAATTTTTGTTTTTCCGACAAATGCTGTTTCAATACCAGTGTTTCTTCATTCATTTACAGCTTGTTTCATTTCCCAATCGCATTAAACCGGTTCAATTATAACAGTCTTTGTAATGAGCTTTTACACACCTGTTATATTAAGATTGAATCGGTTTTATGGCACATAAACAACTGCGATAATCATGCTAAAAAATCAACTGTTTGGGTGAACGTGTGCGTGTGTGTGTGTGCATTTGTATGTGTGAGTATGCACGGTAGCAACTACTTATACTATGGCTCTCTTTTTGTTGTCTTTTGTTTCCGCCTGTTTCTGTTGCATGGGTCTTGTCTTGGTCTTGGTCTTGCGCTGGGTCTCGTCTCTTCTGCATCTTCTGCCTGGTTGCGATTTCTATCTGCGTATTCGTTTTTCTCATTGGCTGCTGTTTATTTGCGCTGTGCGTTCGTTTATTGAGTTTGCTTTATGTCTGCGGGGCGTTCAATGAACTTCTGCGACGTTTGCTGCTGCTGTGGCTGCTGCTGCTCTTCGTCCACTTAGACAATGCGACTCGGGCGGTGAATCTCGGACGGAGAGTTGTCGCCCATCCATTGTCAAAGTTTTTGTTTGCTATCGAGCGATTATCGAAGTAAGCAACAGCAACAACAAGGTACAAGAAAAATAAGTGCTTCAAAAAGCGCAAGATATTGAAAGATATTAAAATAACTTCCAAGGCATACAATGGAGCTGCCCAAGATGGAGTGGGAGGTGGGGACCAGCAGATAAGCAGCATTCGTTTTTATCCTCTCTTTTCTTGTTCTTCTTCTTCTTCTACAACTTCGCTTCAGCTGCCTTAATATAATTTGATGTTATGGCAAGGCACACAAACAAATACACGTGTCGTTCGTAAGCTCAGTGTGTGCGTGTGTGTGTGTGTGAGCTTGATGACGAAGTCACAGCAGGCAGACAGAGCAGACGTAGAGGGCCGCGGCATGTGGGCAATGCGAAATAACGTAGAATGACGTAGCAAAGCAGAGCAAAAGACAGCAACAGCACAAGCAGCAGCGACGTCAGCAGCAACAGCAACAGCAGCAGCGGCAGCGACAGCGGCATTAGCGAAGCCACATGCAATGCAATTTCAAAGGTCAATGACACGCAACGTGCGGCGCAGCACAGCAGAGAGTCAGAGAGCGCACACAATGCCAGCCACGAAGAGCGCCCAAAAGCTTTTGCCTGACGCGCGCTCTCTTTGTCCAGCTCCAAGAAAGCTCTCTTTGTCATTTTGTGCAGAAATATGCACAAATTGAATTTTGCTCTCATTTCTGTTCGCTACTGCTGCAGCTGCGGCTGCTGTTTTCATTCACACACAGGAAATACGCAAGCTCACTTTGTTGTTATTGTTGCATTTGCAATTTTTTCATTGTTGCTGATTGCATTTTACGCTGCTTTTTCAACGGTGCTTGACACCCACATGTGCCACAAAATTACTTTGCCAGGCCGAAAAGCGAGCGTCAAATGAAGAGAGAACCGCACATCCTTCTTAGGCCCTTGAGCCGAGCAGTGAGTTATGTGTGTGGGTGACAGCGGCTTTTGTGTGTCTCCTCAATGCAGCGTCTGCATGTGTGTGTGTGCGTATGTGTGTATCATAAATTATGCAAAAAAATGCAATTATTTTCATTAAGCGAACGTTTCATTGGTTACCGAAGACAGCACCAGAGGTGCACACAAAAGTTCTTCTGAAGTTCTGCCTGTCAAGCAAATGGCGGTAAAGAGGAGCAAAGTATAAGAGTCAACTTATAATGCCGCTAATTTACGAGCTGCTTTGCTTGCCAAGCTAAGTTTCTACTTCATTCGCTGTAATTGTATAATAGCTATCCCTCTCTCTCTCTCTCTCTCTGATGCATACACATATTAACTAGAATATTCGAGCTGCTATTTTAGAGCTTGCTCAGTCGCACTTTAGGCAATTGAACTCATGAGTTCGTATCGAAACATATTTAAATATTTATCATTCACTGCATAAACGGCGCACAACCAAAATGCATTTATCTGTAAAATGCATTCAAACAAAGGTCATGTGACAAAGAGTTCTAAAAACACAGGGAACAGTTAGGGTATCAACACGTTTAGCATGCAACACACACAGCTAAGCACCAACAACAACAACAACAAACGGCTAACAAAGCGTTTACCGCACGCTATTTCATCTGGAGGCTATAAAAAAAAGTTAGGTTAGGTTATGGACGCGCCACATGGAGTACAGGGGCTAGGAGGCAGGGTCGACATGACTACATAAACGGGTTCAAAATCCTATGCAACATGGCAACAACTAAACAAAAGGCAGCAGAGGCAGCGGCAACAGCGGCAACAGCGGCAGAAGCGAAAACAACGCACAAGGTAGACGAACCAAAGTCGAAGCCAAAACCCGATACCAACCTCCCCTCCAACTTCTACACCTTGTGCATGCCTCTGCCACCAATAGAGCGTTGCTTGGGCAGTTCGCTTGGCTCGCCGCAAAACTCGTTTATTGACGTTGCAAAAAGAAAAAAAAATCATCATCCGAACTGAACAGAATAGCACAAAAGTGCAACGTCATCGACAGCGCGCTGTGGCACCCCAGCGAGGCACAACATATGAGGCAGCTAGCCGAAGAAGAAGCAGCAGCAGCAACAGAACGTGGATCAGTGAACGTTAAACCAGAAATTACATTTTTCTCTGTGCACACTCTGCGTTTCTTTTTTTTCCGTATTATTTCTTGCGATTCCTTGCCCCAGGACAAAAAGTTTATGTGTTTGCTATAGCAGTGAGGGTATCTATGACTGCCAAATGCCCTGCAATATTAGACAAGTATTGTACTTTGAGGGTAAATCATTAAGAATGGTATAATAGCATAAGATTAAGATTATTGATTGTACAGTTTCATAAAATGAACTATTTATGGTATTTCTAATGGGGGAAAATGTAGTAGAATCATTTTAATTTATTTATATTCATCATTCTCCATTAGTTAAATAAGTAATATAAGGAAAAATTAGAATAATTTAAGCTAGATCAAGTAGAAAACTGAATTTGAAAATATAATCTCTCTCTGCTAATAAATTTGATAATATTTGCTCATTTAATTGCTTTACTAAGTTTCTATATCTAAATATTTCACCCAACAAACTCCCGGAGAGTAGAAAGTTAATATGGAGTGCTTTTACCTTAACCCAGCCTAGGGTATCTTATGCTCAAACCCCTCTAATTTGCACTCTGTTTAGCTTCGAGTAGAATGCGGCAAGCTTTAGGCTAATTAGTGAGCGAGCACAGCAAACGTAAATCTAATTACGCATACGCCGCGTGTTACCTCCAAAATTCGCAGAAAACAAGTTTGAGCCATGGCTGAAACGCAGGCAGCTGGCCAACAAGTGCAGGTCAGACACACACATTTAGGGAAGCCAACGGTATAATGCGCCCCTTTCACCGGCTACCAAGAGAGTTGCAACCTGCAACATGCCACTTGCCACAATGCTTGCCGTTGTTGTTGCATTCAATTGGCTTCTTGGACAGCAACAACTGCAACAGCAACAGCAACTTCCGCCTTTGCGCTTTAGAGAGCAATTCCTCAAAAAACTTGTGGCATAAATTAGCTTTACCGTTAAGCAAGGCACAGCAGAGGGTCGAGTTGCAACAAAACGCGGCAGGCAAAGAGCCGCTTGCAACCTCAACATATAATTTGTGCGCAATTTTAAAGACAAAAATCTGTTGATTTTTATGGGATTTGACGGTGTGGCAAGATGGCAAATGCAAAAGCGTATGCGGCATCACCGTTCGCAATTCATGTGGCATGATTATTATACAATAATTTATCAAAAGGGTCAAATGAGATGTGGAAATTGATGCCGTTAATATCCCAAAATTATATACACAGAGCAACATTTTGCAAGATTAATATTCGAACTTGAATTGGAATGCATGTGGAAGTGGATCAATTGGAGTATACAAAGTGGATAGTATTGGAGCTTGCCACATTATCTGTAGCAATACCCATATATATAAAGAGCATTTAGTTGGAAACTTATGTGAAACAAAAAGAAAATTCAATAAATTCAAAATACTCTTTAGTTATATACAAAATCATAAATTTCACCTTTCTAGGGCTTATCGGGAAAGGCTGAACTCTGTATGAAAACAGACAAGCAGACGGACATTGCAAAAAAAAAAAAAAAATTTACTTTTTTCCTTTCCTTTCTTCTATTCTTCAATTTATTTAATAATAAAAACTTAAAATTATTATGATATGAATATAAATACATCTCCCGATCAACTGATAAAACACTCGTAAAATGCAATTTTACACTGTGCTATTCACTTGATAATTGCTGATATATGATATTTGATACTCAATTGTTTTTTGTTCACACCAATTAAGCTAGATAAATAATAATTTGCGTCTGTTTTAGTTAGCAACATTTAACAATTATTTATCAGCACCGCAAAAGCAAGCAAATACCCAGAATATAAAATGGAAATTCAAATTTAAATAAACGTCGCGACGTCAATAAAAAAAAATAAACAAAATGGCGCACAGCGAACGGTCCGACAGCTATTTAAATGGAGAATTGAAATTAATGAGCGAAAAATTAATAGAAAACAAGCAACAACAAAAACAAGAAGAACTACAGTAGCTACGACAGAGCTCAGCAGCAGCTGCGCGACGCCTTAGCATCGAATCGCAAACAAATATCTTGCAGTGTGACCAAATCGTCGGCCATTTTGCATGACATATAAAGTAGAGTGGGTGCGAGGGAGACAGCGACGTGGGCGCTGCGTACGCTAAAAGAGAGCACAAAGCGGCATCTATGTAAACTAATTCCAGCTACTTCCATGCTTTACAGCTACTTAAAATGTTAAGCACTTGCAAAATGATGCAATTCGTGTCGTGAAATTTCATGAGAATTGCAATAACAGTAAAGCGAATTACTGGGAATCGTAAGTACTACGAATTCCAAGGAACTTGAATTAGAATTGTAACATATGATTTCTAAACAAATCTGTATCTGTATCTGTATCTGTATCTGTATCTGTATCTGCATGTGTATCTGTATCTGTATCTGTATCTGTATCTGTAACTGTATGTAACTGTAACTATATCTGTATCTGTATCTGTATCTGTATCTGTATCTGTATCTGTATCTGTATCTGTATCTGT